TTATTACTCTGCCTACACTTGATTTAAGTGCTTATTTCTCAACCCCTTGCCTATTGGAAATGATAATCCTCATTTTGCCCCTGCCTCCTATTGAATAGACATATATGCAAAATTTTTCATTACCCAAAATACACAAACTAAAGCTTCCAACAACAAATCTCTTCTCCTATTACCACTCCCACTACCCAATTCATGTTTACACCCAAATACAATCACATCACTTGCCTATCTCTATTTGCCATAAAAGCCTCTAAACACGATCATTCTGCCTAATACTTTGGCTCTTGAGTTGATCCCCACACATCTCCTACTCTTATACTAAAATCACTATGAACAGGCCGTTAGTGTCACCAATTAGTTTTCATTCAAGTACCTCACGTCCAACATATATGACTCAATCTTCAAACACCCATATCTTGTAGCCCTATTTTTCCAAATTAATAGTAAAGTCGCTTCAGGGATAATGTTTTTTTTGTGTTTAAATTTTGAATCTTTATTCGGTGCCTGAAAACAATAAAATGCTACAAATCGATTGTTTAGACTTTTTTAAAAATTTACAATTTGGTGCCTCACTGCCTAATAAAGTGCTACAATTTGGTGTCTGAATCTATAAAACTTCCATTTTAAAAGAGAAATTAGCAAATTTAGTGTTTATTTTTGTTCGATCAAATCGGGATTCACGAACACAAATCTTATGTTAACAGACATTTTGCCTTTTCTGGAGGATTTCAATATTATACTGTGGAGCAACTCTGAGTTGAATTTTCTTGAAGCCATGTATCGCAACTAGTCACCTTAAAATATAAAAGATAAGTATCAAGTTACAATTAATTGTAAGCTTACAGAATTCAACTTTACAAATTATAGATTTAATATTATCCTTGGGTTTCAATCAATGGAAGTAGAGACTAAAGCAATGAAAGATTTTAGAGTATTATTTTAAGTCCAATGGTCAGTGAAAGTACATTTATAACACCACAATTTAAATATAGATGACTCTCCAATTACATACCTTTCTCTCAATTATTACCATCTTACTTTTTCAATCATTGGGAGTCCCAACATCTCATAAACCAAATAAAGGCAGGGTTTATCAGTATCTTCTAGCTTTAATCATATCATATATAGACCCAAATAAAAAAGAAAGAAAGCTATAGATAATTTTTTCCACTTAAAAAAATCATCTATAACTTTTCCTCCACAAATTAGCCTACTAACGAAAATTATCCTCTTTGTAAGATCATTGTTCACGGATAACCCATCTTTGAAGGTCGCTTAATAAGGATTTAAATCTCTTAAAAGCATCACAACAACAGACCGTAGTTTCGTATTTCTGCAACTACAAGCAATTTAAAGAGCAAACTTATTACAATTGCTAATCTCATTTGTGATTCATAATGAAGTTCGTAATTTGCATAACATTCCATACTAAAATTTTTGTAAATCAGGTACATTCCTTCATAGGTTTTATTGATTACTTTTCACATTTTTTTATGCAAGGCATAATATTCTTTAAAAGCTAGATTTAAGAGTTAATGAACAATACACAGTGTAACAATAAATATGTGAAAATATATTCAATTAATTTCACCTACAACCCTTACAGTTTTTTCTGGCTATTAAATTAGCAATAAACTGACCATATTTTCATGCTCAACCTCATCCATGTACCACTTTTATGAAATTAGCAATAATATATTTATCATTTACATCAATTTTAAAGAACGCTAAAACTGTTAATAAATATAGGACGACTCTTGATTAATAACAAATAAAGTTTAATTAAGTGCCTTCATTGTGAATTCACTCCATCCATCACATATAATAGCAAACCTTCTCTGCCCAACAGCTTTGATATGGCTGCAACCGTAATCTCTCAACAGAATACTTTCTCTTGTTGGCAGTAAAGATAATTCTCAATAACACACTTAATCCCAGAATTCAGCAAAAGTATAAGAAACTAATAAAGTAACGGATTTTTAGCTAGATTAAAGGGGTAAACATGTTGTAAGACCATTATAGTAATCTCAGCATGTAAACCTATCATGCAGCTTGCCATGTTTTAAAAGCTTCAAAAATAGGGTCGACTCCTTTTTGCCTTTCTTTTCTTTGAATTTGGAAGTTTCTTAGTATCCTCAGTTTTCACATTATATGAGGTGATGGCACATTCTTTTGGTGCAAAATTTTTAGGGGATAATAAATAAGCTTTAGTGTCTGAACTTTAAACGTTTTTTTTTCTATTTATGTCATGAAATAGAAAACACAAACATTGAATATATGAATGTCCTAAATTTGTGAATAAGTGTGAATAAGTGTCCTCCCAGATGATGTGGTCAAGCCGAAAATGTGACTGTGCCATGAACCCACTTACACTATTGTGTTGACATAAACATATAGAAAAGTTAGTTGGCCAAAACCTCACTTAAATTTTAAAGAAATTAGACATTATTGTCCTGTCATCTTGAGTAAACTCGCCCCACTCTTCTCGATTCTTCAATCAATCACTCTCTCTAATGCATTTTTCTCTCTAATTCCCTACCCACCACGTTTCTAAACAAAAACTAGGTCTTAAAAACTTACCTCATCATCCTAAACTGCATTCCGCACCATAACTAGATATTGAATATAAACATCATCCTCACTACACCAATTTTATCCATTATTAGATCTTTAAATCTTACCATAACAATTTCACTTTTATTTTCTTATCCTTTATCAACCTCAAATGAGCAACAATGGAAAAATAGGAAGAAAAAAGTTAAAATTTTATATTTATAAAATAAAAATATGAAAACTGACAATCCAATAACAAAATATATATTTTTTAATTTATAAAATCTATGTTCTCTATTTCATCGTTCTATCCTTTTTATTGATAATTTAAACTTGAACTTTAACACAGTGTAAGCATTCCAAAGTACAATCTTATTGAATATAATATCAGACCATCCAAACTTTTAAATCCAAATCAACACTACAAAGCAATACTTAATTTTTAATTAATTATATCTCATTTATAC